CTGTGTCTGTGTCTGTCTGTGTCTGTCTGTCGCTACATTAAAAATCCTTATTTTTTATCCTTGTCGTCCTCGTCATCCTGGCTGCCTCCACACACCTGGATCGTGACAGAATAACCGACCCAAAAGTAGAGTATAGCAGCGTCTTTCCCCTTGTTTGATTTTTGCAGGGCTCCTGATGTTTCGTTTAGCCCAGGAAGGGCTCCTGATCCCCAGTTCCGCCCAGGAAGGGCTCCAGCCCAAGAGCTCTCTCCAATGCCCGCTCCTCAAAGATACCCGCCCGCCCACCTGCTCCGGCCTCCTCCAGCGTCACCATGGTCGGAGTCTCCCTCACCTCCGCCTCCAGCCTCCGAGGCCCGGACTCTGCCTCGATCCGTAGACCTTGTGTCTCTTGTGTTCTAGTTTGTCGGTTATTGTGAATGTTACCCCGAGTGTGTGTGTCTCTCTGCCTTGTTGTCGCTACATTTAAAAATCCTTATTTTGTATCCTTGTCGTCCTCGTCATCCTGCCTGCCTCCACACACCTGGACCGTGGCAGAGGTGTGTGCCACCTGTACCAAATAATTCACAAAGGTCAAAGCTTATTTTTGAATTGAGGACAACTCCTGTGAACAACAAAGTGCACTCAAATATTATTTTAAATTAGACAAAAGCGGTAGAAATTTCCCTAAATGGTGTGTTTTGTATAGCGTTCAATCATCTACTCCAGGCAAAGACCAGCTTAAAATGAAGTAGCGGTCATTTCTTCTTCAAGGTAGGTCCTGTCAGCAGTGAAACTAGGCCAGTTGTTCGGTCTCTGCTGGAGGTTTTCATCACAGGGCTTGGGGACACCCTTTACCTACGAAGCAATGCTTTATAGGTGCACAGCCTTGCCAAAACCCACTCATTTACCACGCTAGCTCTGCCAGCACATGTCTCATTCTCTATAAGCCTTTAGCTCCCATCTGACCTCCCATCCATCAACAAAAACCCGAGTGTACGGATTCACCAGGGGGAGGAATTACAGGTTATCTACTGTCAGACATGACATTTGAGCTGAACAGAAGAGTAGTCGACGGACTCACTTTCTCACCAACCCTGGGTGCCACTGGCCTGTTGCTGTACTCCGCACACTAAAAGCCCACATAGTGATTGGACTCATAGAAATGCAGGTCCCTTTAGTGTCAAGCACAGATGGATGTTTTATAGCACAAAGAGAGTTGTGAACCATTGTTCTACGTGATGTAGTATGTGAACCCATACTACTATTTTGGAGGAAACCTCAGGGCGAAGAAAGTGTGCTCTTTGTACATAAAGTTTTATGTACTCTGTACTTACACTATAATCAACAGTTTTTTTTTTTTCAAGAAATTAATAATTTAATTTGGCAAGGACTCTATTTTATCAAAACTGACAAATATTTTATAAAATTATGCCTTTACTATGTAAGAAGAAATTGTTACATTACATTTACAATTTTACTGTTCTCCTGAACTTTGTTCATCAAAGAATCTGAGTAATGGCTGCTGAAAATTCAGCTTTGCCATCTCAGGAAATAATTAAATTTTAAAGTATATTAAAACAGAAAACTTACAATTTTAAATTGTAATAATATTTTAAAATATTGCTCTTTTAAATTAATTTTCATTTTTTAAAATTATTGTGAATATATTGTATGAATAAATTTTCTTTATTTAGTAAATATTATAAATCATATATGAATTTACTTTTCAAATAGTTTGGTAAATGTAATTCATATACTGTATGAAATACAACTCATTCAATAATATATTTTCATATAAAATTTAGTGGCATTAAATACTATAAATAAAGATAAACATCACATACATTTTTTTTTATTATTATAAGTAGAAGAGGGAACTACTGATTTAAAGTTAAATCACATTATTATTCATTTTGAACTTAGCTGATGTTTAATACTGGGTCTTGACTTATCTATGCCCCTGGTACTCACCCTGGTCTTCTCTTCCAGTCTGGTCATCATGACGATGGTACTGGCTCTCTGCTCCCAAACCATCCTCCAGAAGTCGCTCAGAGTCTCAGGCAGAGGGCCCTGCGTGGCAATGTAGGCATTCTGCTTACGGTAGCCATCAGTGTAGTTGGCATTGATGTAATCGCTGCCTGGAACACCTATAGAGAAAGACAACAATTCACTGGTGGCCCACTTAATGCCAGTATTTGTGCTAACTGCATGTTTTCTCTAAACATACACATATCTGTCGCCATAATGAAATGTTAAAGGTCAACACATTTGTTTGACTTTTACCATCCACGGGGGTGAGAACAACTCTCGAGTGGTCGTAAGCAATAACGTTGGCATAACGGTTCTTTGGCTTGTTGACCTCTAAGTTGGAGTTCTCCCATGTGAACTGCTGGCCTGGATCAATGGACTGCAGGGGAAAGATGAGAGGACAAAAAGAAGGAGGGGAGAGGGAAAGAGAGAGAGAAATCTGTTCAGTCTTTTGAGGCACCTTGTTTGAAGCTTGATACCACAGAGTGCCGCAGGGGTAAATTTGAACTAGCAACACTTCAGTAAGAGAGGCCTTGTTTCAATAGTAACGCAACGTTTTGAATGGAGACCCGCAAGAACCAGAGCTGACTTTGCCACCAGGGGTTGTTTGAACTGATGGACTGGCAAAGCTCAAGTGTAATTTGGATCCCTTTGTGGGTATATTGCAGTTCTGTTCCCTTACTAGTGATCATCTGCCCAGTAATAACAGCAAGTTCATCTGCTGTATTATCACAGGCAACCAACAGATGGCTTAGTGCTCACTGACACCATAATTCAAACATGATCACTGTAAGGGGCTCCGATAATAGTACCACTGACTCAGTACATCCATACCTGAATAGCAATGGCTGAGGAATAGCAGACCCAACAGGGAGAGTGTGGTTTTATGCAGGGTTATGCATGTGTTCATCTCTCCTCTCTCTTTAGAGCATCCTGTCTGTCTCCATAAGTCCACACTCTCCCTGTTGGGTCTGCTATTCCTCAGCCATTGGATTTATCAGTGACTGCTCGCATGAGGTGATGCCCTGAATGGGTAACAGACGTTCCATGCAAGGCCTTTTTATTAGAGGTCAGTTGTCTGCAACGTACAAATGTTTGAGGAGTCATGCTCATGTTAGAGCCATTATAATATATTATTAGAGACATTATAAGGTTGCATGATTTGGGCTACAGAAGCATCATTTATGAAACCATCATTGTTAATGTTACAAACATTTAATAATAGTAATCAAACTGTATCTACAGATGGATATCTATGTTGATAACAACAAATAGATAAATAAATAACTTTTACCACAACAATTCATTGCTTTCACTGCACTTATCAGGCTACTACAACTACTACTAACACGAGAACTTGGAAAAAAATTCAAATTATATCTAGACACTGATGTCTTTGGTGGTAAAAACAAAAAATAAAATAAAATAAAATACATATATAAATTACCTTTATCAAGTAATTTGTGGCTGGTTGTTTTGATTGCACAATCATTCACTGCATTTTAGGAGGTTTAGAATTGAAAATAATGCGAATAATTGACTAAACTACTTGCACTGTCTCCCTCTTGTGTGTTTTTACATTACAAATTCACAAAATTTCAGCAATAACAGCACACAAACAAGGGAAGCAGAAAATGTACAACTTGTGTATGAAAAAGTTAAAACATAATTGGTATTAATAATAATACAGTTGATGTCCCTGTGGCTCCAATTAAGCATAGAGCTAGAAACACCAAGAAGTCATGTGTTGATACCCAGGGAGTACACATACTGATAAATATATGCCTGTACCTCAAGTCACAGGTCTCCTTGGCTCAAATGACACTGGGTCGTATCTGAGCATTGATCGACAACAATATGCAGCAACCTGCTCGGCAAGTCAATAATGTCACAGGGTCTCTTGTTATTCAGCATTGATCTGCCTGTTCTGGACAAGGCTCTGGTTGACTCAATGTGCATCAGCCTCCACACCTTTCACCTGATATGGGATCATTTCAGCCTCCTTGGATCCTTTCAAACATATGTGCTTATTTTTGACAACAAATGCCTTCTTAAGAGCCTCTGTAAACTACCATAAAACACTCTCTTCAAAACATAACTGGTTTTTAAATTTCCACATATGAAGTAATGCTCAAAAGTAAACAGCAACTCAGTGCAATATTAAAGGGGTCATATGACATTGCTAAAAATAACATTATGTTGTGTATTTGGTGTAATGCAATGTGTTTATGCGGTTTAAGGTTCAAAAAACACATTATTTTCCATATAATGTACATTATTGTTTCTCCTCTATGCCCTGCCTTTCTGAAACGTGTCGATTTTTACAAAGCTCATCGTTCTAAAAAAGTGAGGTGTGCTCTGATTGGCCAGCTATCCAGTGCGTTGTGATTGGCCGAATACCACAAGCGTGTGACGGAAATGTTACGCCCTTTACCATACTGTGATGCCGTCTCCCAGCAGGACAAGACTCAGTCCAGCTGCTCAGATCGTGCACATCCCATCATCGGTTCTCTTTTTCAGTTCAGTCAATGTACTGTTAGGAGTAACTGAATAACTCGGGATATTGGTTTATTTCGCGTCAGAGGGAGTGTCAGGCACATTTATAAACCGAATAACTTAAGTAATTTGTGGATTAGTGCGCACTGGAGACGCGAACCGTTTCAAACGATTCAGTTCGATTTGGTGAACTGGTTCGACCGGTTCACTAAGAAGATCCTGTTAAATAGAACAATTCGTTTGCGATCCGGACATCACTAGATGAGACCAAACCAATAAAACCCATTACAAACGAGGCATTTGTTGCATCCAGTGGGGACATAATTATTGATTATAATGACTTATACTGTCTTTTTACACGTTGCCTAAAACCATGTCTGCATTTGTGATCGGAAAAACAACAAACAACAAGCGTTACTCTACACTGCTCAAAACTCGCGTTTGAATCATCAGTGGCAAATTATTTAAATATAAAAAAACTTACTTACAGGCTGTGAGTCAGAAGCGTCAGACTGTCCTTGCAAAATTGGAACTGCCCAACTTTATAGAAACAGCCATTGTGCCAGAGACACATTAGGCTACTGGTTCAGGAAGCAGTCCTCATCCATCCTCTATAAATTCGCAGCACACATCTGAATATTTGGGTTGAACTGTTCTGGAACAGTGTTGTAAATACAACTTAACCACTGATTTCTAGTCGTGTCCTCATTTGGAAGGCCAAACAAAGTAGTTTTGCTTTCACAACGAAACACACAGTGACTCCACAACATGGCAGCGGCGGCAACAGCGAGAATAAAAGTTACGCCTTCTTTCTTTGCGTGAACATTTGAGCAGTGTTATGCAAATCTTCCCACATCGTGACGTAGACATGTGGGGGCGTGTTAGAATGAGCCGTTTTAGGAGGGTGTGGTTGACTCTTAACTTTTATAAAGAATATCTCTTTGGATTTGAGACTTTAGTTTTTGCAACTTTACAGATCTTCTTTATGCACCAAGAGCTTGTAACACTCCAAAGAGAAAGGAAAAATTGAAATCGCATCATATGACCCCTTTAATAAATTGGCATATTGAAGTATCTGATATGCTAAGTGGTTCTCTGCCAGTTTATCGGCAAGCACCTTAGAGGAACATTTACTTTGCCATAAGCTTTCACACACAAGTACAGGTAATGTGCGAATAAGACAGCTGGTTTGCTGACTGGCAGTGTTTTCCAAACAAGGGGAACAAATATGAGCTGTCACTACATGAGATGACAAGCTTGAGAAATGCGGATAATGATAGTGGTGGGAGGTGAGCACCGGCTCCTATAAAAAGCTTCTGCTCTAGTGGGTTGACAAACATAAGCTTGTTACTGGTGAGAATCAGTGTGTGATGGGAGTGTAAGCTATTGCTATTGCCACCAGTCAAGCTGTGGAGTGATCTACAGAGCACTTCAACAGCCGAGGAGGAATTTTTAGGACAGCACTCTTCAAATTCTGGTTCGTGTTTATACAGTGCAAATCGTTCAAAACCAACTGACTATTGGGTTAAATTAGTACATAGATCTACAGGTTATGATGTTTTTCATTTTATTTCGGTAAGATCAGCTCTATGGTGTGGTCACAGTTTTGCAAAAACAAGTAGTAAATATTACAAGCCAGAGGTAAAAAGGAATTTAGTATCTTTGGCAGATATAAGCATGGAAGAGAGACAATGAAAATGAGCAAAGGATGCATCAAGCAGAACATGGAGCCAATAAACGTGCTGCCCACTGCCTTGCTCCTGCTGGCTGGACTAGGCTACTCCCATTGGCCCAAGCGGAACCATCTGTCCCCTTGCAAGGGGGCCTTCCTTGACAGGAGGACATGACATCACGACCTGCCAAGAGCAGGTTGTGAGCACCGCCCGGCTACAGAGGGCTTGTGTGGCGAAAATCACAAATGCAATCGAGGGAGGAGAGATTTGTCATATATGGTTGCTGAAACAGCTCAACCCGTCCCTCAAAGTGTCAGTAATGTCTTGAATGAATGAATAATAAGAAATTAATAAAAGGAGGTATATATATATATATATATATATATATATTTCTTTCTTTTTTATCTAGAGACATGTGTGTCATTCCAGAAAGAGTGTTTTGTTGGTTGGAGTGAAGTTTTAATTGCAGTTTTACGGTCACACTTTATTTTAAGGTCCAATTCTCGCTATTAACGAACCATTAACTATGACTTTTGCTTCAAACTCCTAATTTTCTGCTTATTATTAGTTAGTAAGGTAGTTGTTAAGTTTAGGTATTGGGTAGAATTAGGGATGTATGAAATGGTCATGCAGAATATGTGCTTTATAAGTACTGTACTAATAAACAGCCAATATGTTAATTATAGGCATGCTAATAAGCAACTAGTTAATGGTGAGAACTGCTCCCTATACTTAAGTGTTACCAGTTTTATTATAAATACGACTGTGATGGGAAAAAAGAGACCAAAGTGAGACAAGAAGAGCAAAGGAACATATGAAAGAAAGAGATGTGTGATTCTGGCAAATCAATAACTCCTTCACTCGTTAACATCTGCACCTGGTCTCTTGCAATAGTTGCAAATCTACTAATACATCATTACCAAGTGTTTGTCAAAACCTCAACAGCAACTGGGCCAACACTGTCTGATCTTTTAATTAAATATTTCCACACCTTTAGGGTGACGACTGACAGTCATGTTAAATATCACTCTTAACAAAAGATTTAACAGGCTTTTTTCTCAACTTCAAGAAGAAGTGACAAGGCCTATGTGTATATTGAAGCTTTTTAGAGAGAGATCATGGGAAAATTATGTCATAACACCCGATGTGGGTGCTCTAAGTGTTGATGGCAGGAGAATCTATTAGATAACAACAAAGTGAGAAAAGTATGGGAGGAAATGGAAATGCCAAATAAGACCAAAAAAGTTAAAAAAAGTTCCAAAGAGCAAAACTGGCTGAAGTTTTACTGAGTTTCTGCAGATAATGAACTATTAAAGGATGCTCACTCTGGCAAGTGACAAGAAATGACAAGCTTCGACCAAAAAAAAAAGAAAAAAAAAATAGTACCTTTGGTGTACAACAGATTGTCACTCGGGCAGTAACTGCTTGATTTTGCATTAAATTCTACGATCGCAGAATTGCAAAATCCTGGGGGGACTGATTAAGGTACAGATGTGACCCTCTGAGAATACTTCCACAGTAACAAGCCGCTGTACCCCTAAGGGTACACATTTGCAAAATTTTTCCTCAGTGAAATGACCAGATACCATTCATTTTCCATGAAAGTTGGTGATTTCTGGCACCATGAGTGGAAGACACCACTGGCAAAGCAACAGAAAAGCTTGACTTTATGCAAATGAGAGTGAAGATAGTGGATATTTTAGCTCATAGATCAGCGATTTAATCAGCATCAGCGTGAACGCAGCTTTACCAGGAAAGTCAGTAAACCAGGGGCGCCCAATCCTGTTCCTGGAGATCAACATTCCTGCAGAGTTCAGATCCAACTCTGCTCCAACGCGCCTGTCTGTAATTATAGCGTGTTTCTGAAGATCTTAATTAGCTGGTTCAGATGTATTTCTGATGTGTTCAGATTATGTAAGTAGCCAACCTTGCTCCTAAAGGGCCACCTTCATGCAGACCTCAGCTCCAACCCTGCTCCAAACACAACTGCCTGTTATTTTTAAGTAACCATCTCAATTAGCTGGTTTATGTTTGTTTGAATATCACTGAAGCTAAACTTTGCAGGAAAGTGGTCCTCCATGAGCAGGATTAGCAACCCCTGTCCTAGAGAATGTGTAACTATAATTAAACCAGATGCAAAATATTCAAGCTGCACCAATTACTATTGCCCTTACCTCATACTCCTGGGAAAATCGGAGGGCATCGTTGGCCTTGAGTCGCTCTATGTGGTCTGCCAGCTCGCAGACAGATATAGGAGGATGTTCCCTCATTCCTACAAGAGAAAATAAGACAACGAGAATTGGTGAACACATCCCAGAGTATCACACCTGATGCACTGTACCGTTACAGCGGGGAGTGAGTCTGTCAGTTTTGAGTTGAGGAGGGCACGATATAAATAGGTTCTTCTTGCACCTTGATGTGACATGATCCCTCTGCGAGATTTGCACTGACATATGTTGTGTCCGCTTACACCTATCCCCCAAACATGCTCTGGATTTCTTGTCCGGGGGGGTCAACTTAGCGCCAAAGCACATTTCCCTGTCAGCGCCTGTGAACGTATCAAGGCTACATGCTCAGCTGGATCTGAGGAAATGTTCAGCTTGCGTGTTGTTTGATAAGGAAAGGTTTGTGTGTGTGTGTGTGTGTGTGTGGGGGGGGGTCGTAATAGAGAGGATCTGTCATTAGGATTCCAGTGGTTGAGGATGAATGAGCTGGACTGAGATGCTTAATGGGACATGGTTGGGTATGATTCCCCATTATGAGTTCATTATGGCCACAGTGAGCACAGTAATGTCTGGACAAGGCCCCTGCTAGCTACTTCATGCAACCGTTACTGCAAGACAGTGGGTGGCAGGATCATGGGGCCACTCTCTTAATCAACCGCACTGACGTGATGCCAAAAACTGGTCTGGTAGATTGTAGACACATTTTACATTTCTTTGGTGGAATATGTGCTACAACACATATGCGACTTTCACACAATTATATCTGAACAGGGCTGATGTGAAAGTCAGAAGAAAAGTTTTACAGTAACAGTTAAGGACTATACTGCGCATAGACGTACAGTCACCTTTTGGGACCGCCATATGTACAGTATGTGACAACGCAACATTCGACAGGGACAAAAACCATGAAAATAATTTATGACTATTAAACAATTTAACCATAAGGAACAACTTTCTACCTGAGCATCACTGAATACTGTATCCTAAATAGTGAATAAAAATGTATATATATAACAAAAATCGTGTTTGCCATTTACATATAATACATACTGTATAACTACTATTTTCTAGCACACAAACGAGACACATAGTATTCTGTATATTTAGAGGCTACCAGTGTAATAAGCTGCACCATGAGCACATTAAGTGAATACAGCACAGGATACATCCACGCTAAACAGCAAGTTAATTAGGCAGTGAAGAGCTACAACCCAGCATGCAAAGCAGAGAAAGGCATGCAGATTACGAGACGTCTGGATTTGAAATGAATGTCCAAGGTCATTCAAGTGAAAATGCATCCAGAAATGTATGGATAAGGGACTGGAAACATAACCTGACTGCTACATCCAAGAAAGACAATGGCAGGAAATAGAATTAGAATATGGGTGTGTGTGTGTGCTGTACATAACATATGCATCACAGGAGAATTCTGTCATTTTTCTCATGTCATGAACAGGATATCATTCACCACAATATCATTTTCATCACATCTCAGTTAAGGTATTTTTCTACTCTTGCTTTTTCCTGCTTTTTTTGAAGGCTATTTTCATAACTAGTGTGTCATGTATCCTAAATTACACATAATTAAATGTTCACACATAAATACTCTATTCATGTTGTATTTATTAACTGTTGATAATATTAACAAAATTGCTGGTTTTAACTGAGGGACAGTCATACATTATTAATTATTTTAAATATTTTATAATAATATTTTATAATAGTTTTGTGTGTGTAATAATTCATATTTTTATTATGTATTTTCATATTTTAGGGGTTAAAACAATCTTTACATAAGACATTTTAAAAAGTTGCCAAAAGAAATGAAGTCATAATAATTAAAAAAAAACTCTAAAACCATTTTAATGTAACCTTCAAATAACCAAAAGAAGAAAAAAATTATAATAAAAAAATACCCCCAAGGCATAAAAGTACTTGTAGCTGAAGGAAAAAACCCTATTTAATATACCATCACATTATTTGTACTCATAAACATCACAAAACAACTCAATCCGGTGTTTCAAAATTTAATCAAACATTGAAATGTGAAGTGCGCTTGTTGCCACTCTGCTGCCGTATGAAAACTGCTGGCTGTGGCAGTGGGATTCACGGTAAGAGAGCTGTATGGCTGTTTAGCCTGCGGTAATTATGTGCTCTTCAGGACTGAAAGGGTCTGTAATAACCTGGCTCTACCGCCACCGCTCAGCTATTAGAGGAGAGAGAGGCAGGCCTGACATTATCTCTTAGCGTCACAGATCTGCCTCTCACTCACCTTGGGAATGGCAAGCAGGAAGGCTAATTAACAAAGAGGGGTTGAAAGAGCAAGAGGCCTTTGGGTGAATTGAGTCCATATAAGACACTCCAAGGAGATGAGACAGTAAATGGAGGAACTGCAATGAACAGCTAAATTCAGAGCCACCAAAGGACAAATAATAATATGCAATATAAAGCAGAGCGTTCCATTACGCTTTCCTACAGCCACTGCTCATTTAGTATACTCACACTAAACGGTCATAAAACAGTACATTTGTTTTCACACAAAAATGTTAAACAAAAAAACACCTTGCACTGTTCTAAAACTTCATTTTAAAAATGAAGATGAAATAGCTATATTACAATAAAATATATTTATTAAAAAATAAAATAAATGATAAACAACCACATAGTAGCATTTCTGTAGAGCAGCTAATATCTGGCTTTCAGATTCAGTGTTGTGACTGAAAGTGCCTCCTCTCTCATGTGCTCTGTTTTTATGGCTGTGGTGGGCGGGCCGTAACGATTGGAAGATACGTACAGCAGTGATAGATCATTCTGATTACAAAGACGTGCTGCCACTTCAGTCAGTGTGCCTGCATGTGCACATACACATACTGTTTATGCTAAATGACACATTCGGTGGCATATGTTGACGCGTGAAAAAATAATATCAGGGTTACTGAACAAGATACAGATGATATAGTACAATGGGATAATGTGCATGCATTGTGTAAGGAAGAGACTGAATTTGTCTTGACTTGCATTGAGCATATGGTGATAAGCTCAAATATCAGACACTGAGTCAGAGGAAAAGTGTACGCGTGCATATGGTAGAGAACATATGGGGCTCTGGCAGACTGGTAATGTGTGTCTATAGTACATATGGTGTACAGTGTGTTACCTGGTGTCTGGTAGTTGAGTCTCCTCATTTCTACAGGATCAGACGAGTTGGCCAGAAGACAATCCTTCACTCCACCAGAGTGATCATCTTTCGGTAGGGGGGATGCTCTCTTCCTGTAAGAGCAAAATGGAGTCAGCATGAGTGCTTCTGTTGACACATTCAGACCACGCCAGACCCACTAACAGATTCGAAAGATTTGAAACAGATAACAAAGACAAATTAAAGAATTTTGAGGGATGGGACAGAGAAATGTGGACATTAGCATCTTCATAAATTTACATCTATTAAACACCTATGTGTCCCGTGTTGACGACTCAATACATGATTTGCGAGAGAGAATTTGATTGGACAAAATTAGACAAAACATTGAGTCCATTTATTATATAATACTATTCAAATGTTTGGGGTCAGTATTTTTTTTTTTTTTTAATAATAGTATATTAAATCAATGCTGATATTTATATAGTATATAGTTTAGTATATAATATAATATATTCTATTTTTGGTTAGTCCTTCTAGAAAGGAAAGACATTTTAAATGCAATAATTTATTATATCTGTATACATGTGTATATCCAAGTTCTTTTTATCAACTTTCAGGAGTATACTAAAGTCAACTACAAGCCACAAAACTCCAAACTTGTTTTCATGGGGTCTTTAAGACAACAAAATAATCAGTCTAAAAATCATGAGCGGTCCTCCATGAGCAGGATTAGCAACCCCTGTCCTAGAGAATGTGTAACTATAATTAAACCAGATGCAAAATATTCAAGCTGCACCAATTACTATTGCCCTTACCTCATACTCCTGGGAAAATCGGAGGGCATCGTTGGCCTTGAGTCGCTCTATGTGGTCTGCCAGCTCGCAGACAGATATAGGAGGATGTTCCCTCATTCCTACAAGAGAAAATAAGACAACGAGAATTGGTGAACACATCCCAGAGTATCACACCTGATGCACTGTACCGTTACAGCGGGGAGTGAGTCTGTCAGTTTTGAGTTGAGGAGGGCACGATATAAATAGGTTCTTCTTGCACCTTGATGTGACATGATCCCTCTGCGAGATTTGCACTGACATATGTTGTGTCCGCTTACACCTATCCCCCAAACATGCTCTGGATTTCTTGTCCGGGGGGGTCAACTTAGCGCCAAAGCACATTTCCCTGTCAGCGCCTGTGAACGTATCAAGGCTACATGCTCAGCTGGATCTGAGGAAATGTTCAGCTTGCGTGTTGTTTGATAAGGAAAGGTTTGTGTGTGTGTGTGTGTGTGTGTGGGGGGGGGTCGTAATAGAGAGGATCTGTCATTAGGATTCCAGTGGTTGAGGATGAATGAGCTGGACTGAGATGCTTAATGGGACATGGTTGGGTATGATTCCCCATTATGAGTTCATTATGGCCACAGTGAGCACAGTAATGTCTGGACAAGGCCCCTGCTAGCTACTTCATGCAACCGTTACTGCAAGACAGTGGGTGGCAGGATCATGGGGCCACTCTCTTAATCAACCGCACTGACGTGATGCCAAAAACTGGTCTGGTAGATTGTAGACACATTTTACATTTCTTTGGTGGAATATGTGCTACAACACATATGCGACTTTCACACAATTATATCTGAACAGGGCTGATGTGAAAGTCAGAAGAAAAGTTTTACAGTAACAGTTAAGGACTATACTGCGCATAGACGTACAGTCACCTTTTGGGACCGCCATATGTACAGTATGTGACAACGCAACATTCGACAGGGACAAAAACCATGAAAATAATTTATGACTATTAAACAATTTAACCATAAGGAACAACTTTCTACCTGAGCATCACTGAATACTGTATCCTAAATAGTGAATAAAAATGTATATATATAACAAAAATCGTGTTTGCCATTTACATATAATACATACTGTATAACTACTATTTTCTAGCACACAAACGAGACACATAGTATTCTGTATATTTAGAGGCTACCAGTGTAATAAGCTGCAGTTGACGACTCAATACATGATTTGCGAGAGAGAATTTGATTGGACAAAATTAGACAAAACATTGAGTCCATTTATTATATAATACTATTCAAATGTTTGGGGTCAGTATTTTTTTTTTTTTTTAATAATAGTATATTAAATCAATGCTGATATTTATATAGTATATAGTTTAGTATATAATATAATATATTCTATTTTTGGTTAGTCCTTCTAGAAAGGAAAGACATTTTAAATGCAATAATTTATTATATCTGTATACATGTGTATATCCAAGTTCTTTTTATCAACTTTCAGGAGTATACTAAAGTCAACTACAAGCCACAAAACTCCAAACTTGTTTTCATGGGGTCTTTAAGACAACAAAATAATCAGTCTAAAAATCATGAGCCTCATTTCTTGTTAAAGCTTCACTGCTTTTAGAGCACATTATAACTTCCCTTCAGGAAACGTAGGGGTCACAGTAATTCGAAATAAAAGCCAAATAGCGTGTTTGTTCAGCGCTTCACTTGATTCTGTTAGCAAGCTCACTAAATATTCAGGGTGCTGCGCTCCTTGTTTGTGGGGAAAACAAGGCGACTAGGTAATTAGCACATCAGCTGGATGGCACAACACTGGTAATTATGCCACTGTAGCTCCTGCACTCCTGAGTGCACTCTTCCAGCAGGTAAAGCTGTCGTGTGCGCACACACACACACACAGATGCAGAACATCTGTCAGTGGAAACCCATCCTCAGACACATGGACACAAATCCCTAACCAAAATGGGAGAGCCAACAGCACGGGAAATTTCACATCTCACTGCACTCAATTTGTAAGGTTCTAAGCACAGTTTTCTAGCTTTCATAAAGCCTGAAGAGCTCAAATGAGGCTGACACCAGCGAGGCGGGCCGCACCGAAGGGTTTTCAGCATATGCTGTTTAACAGAACCGGGTCGTACTGCATTGCTAATCACTAGAGCGCTGGACACGTAGCCTCTCGTCTTTCTTGTACGTACAGTAAGTCTCAGCACACTTCAATTATTCAGTTTGGAGTTAATACATATACAACAGAGGCTAAAAGGATCCATTTGTAGGGGGTTCAGAATAAATGCAGAGATAAAAATAACAAAAAATGACCATTTTGCTCTGTGAGAGAGAGTGTATGTGTGTGAGAGAGATATTTCATACATTAGCCAGTAAGAAGGAAGTGAAAAAATGAAACAGAACAGTTCGGTGGATGGAAATGTCAGCTTTGAAGATGAGAACATTTCTATTTCGGCAGCCGCCGGGCTGGCATTTCCTTTACAATGGGCCATTCAGGGCTCAGGTGAGACAGCAGAAAGGCTGACTGCACACACTCAATCTGAGTGACCTTCAGGAGGAGGTGAAGGATCAACACGAACAGAATCAACACAGCACAGCAAACATCTCCAAAAATAAATCACGATCACAACAGCAAGCATGCACCACTGTAACGACGTAAACCCAAAGGACCGGAGCTTTTCAAGGACAGCAGGGTGTGAGGGTGAACTACTGTCAATCTCTGTGCAGAAAGGCAATTTCAGCCAACATCTTGTTTTGGATGAACCGAACGGATAGTCATTCAAAACAACATGCTAATGAACAGTAACGTGTGCGGCCACACCTGCAGACCCTGCAGCCTGTGAAGAGTGAGACAGATGACACTTCTGAAATGAAAACTGTGACAGAAAGACACCTGGCCATGATCTGAAGGTACCTACCTCTCCTGTTTGCTGCATTTGTATGGAGCGGAGGAAGGAAGAGACACGTGATTAGTGGCTGTCAGACACGCAGAGACTCAAGTGAGTTGTGCTGCTAACCTTGCGTTTCAAAAATGTCTTGCTGAAATCTGACTTTGTGTTTGAAGACGGTGATTTAAAAAGAGGAAACGAATGAATACTTATATAAAATAACTGACTGACACAACGCTAGCCTTTGCTTTAGCTAATGAATATTAAGTAGGTGATCTGCCCACATTCAGGGACATAATAAAAATAATGTTGGAAACTCCGTTTATATAACATTACGTATAATCAACAGTTTAGATTTATATGCAAACAGATAATTATAGGTGTACACAATATATATCAGAGTTTTTAAAAACTTTTTTTTCATTATTTATTGTTGTGTTGAAAACCTTGTCAACAATTCTCTCTTTTAGTCTTGCTCATATAACATGACATATTGTAATGTGGTGTTTTGTTTCATGTTCATGTTTTCCATGTCTTTTATTTTGTAATTGTTTCGTGTTAGTGTCATGTTAGTGTCATGCTTCCCTTGCCTCATGTCTCTCTGCCTTGTGTATGTGTCATGTTCTGATTGGTAGTCTTAGTCATGTGTCTTGTTCCCCATTGGTTTGTTCATGTCATGTGACCCTCCTTGTTTCCTATAAGTAGCTTCATGCTCCCATTGTGCCCTCGTCATGTATTTAACCCGCTGTTGGTGAGTCTAGTCTGTTTGTGTCAAGTCTGCTCATGCTATGCCTGTTCAAGTCAAGTCTGTGTCTTGGATTATTGTTTGGATCACTCTGTAAATAAACTGCACTTGGGTTCTCACTACGCTCGCCTTCAGTGGATTGACTCTTTACACATATTATCCACTGCTTTAATTTATATACAAACTCATGTTGATTATTGGTAGATATAATTTATTTAATCCCCTATTTTTACGTTTAGATCTCAAAATGAATATTTTCCATACTGTACATTATAATGTTGTGATGCCTCCTAAATTTGCTTGTAGCATTTAAAATTACAGATTTTGGTAGAGAATTTAGTACAGAATTTTACAACAAGCTTCAGCAGAAATATTAATTTTGTGCATCCCTATTCCCTAGTTAAATGTTAATTTAAGCAAAAAAAGAAAAGGATTCTGTCAAAAAGGCTAATACATCTCATTTGTGATCAGATTTTCAAAAATCTATTGGCAAGTTGTGCAGAATTAGAGCATCCAGTGGTAGGAATTCCTGTTAGCAACAAAAAATACAATACAGCTACTTGTGACCTCCAGCGACAACATGACTGTCAGAGTGAAAGGGAGAGAGAAAGTTAAGGCTAGCAGCGAAAGGCCAGTTATCAGTTCTGCAGGAGTACAATAGCAGAGCTACTCGCTGGACTATCTGGCTCGCAGCGGTGGGCAGTGGAAGATGACAGCTTTTAGAATAGCATCAGCAGGGTGTGGCAGCACAGCCACATAACCGCTCGCCTGCAGAAACCGAAAGCTGACGCTGCCATTTCGCTGCTGCATCTTCACTCGGGAACGGCTTCAATTTGAGTCACTGCAAAGCTAAAAGAGTCCTGCACCATCAGGGGGGCTGATATGGTGGATTTGTGTTGAACGCCGAGAAAATCAGAGCAAAACAAATGCAAGGTTTGCTCTGAAGTAAGGGATTTTACCCAGATGGGCTGGAGGGAGTATTAGTCAGTACTGTATCAGCATTGTGAATGGGACCACCGGGTCACGCCGCAAGCTACATGTCTGCATTATTCGGCTGAGTCAAGATGTCATTATGAATAATGTTCTCTCCGCGGAAAAGCTAGCTAAAATTAGCCACATCTTGTTCCGTGTACAAAGCATCCAAAGCAGACAAGGAGTCACGCCGACGATGTGTAGGGGTGTATTTAATCTGAAATGAGACCTTCAAAGAGGCTGATATTTGTCTCCATCACACCTAGTAAGCTTTGAGATGATCTTAGAGATAAAAAAGGTGGGCACACTTCACACCCCCCTCAACAAAATGGAAAACTAGGTCTGCCAATTAATATAATATAAAAATAATAACATGAAATGCTGATTAATTAATCTAATTAATCACTACAAATTGAGAAATACCCCAAATGAAGATAATTCAAAATACATTCAAACACAAATTAAGTCATACTTCATAAAGTCATATTTACTGTTGTTTATCAAACTTTCATGAGTGAAATCCAGTCATTACAATAGGAATTTCGTGTGAGGGTGAAAAAGTTCCCCACAAAGATTTCGCAACAAGTTAATTTGTGGCATTGACCAAGAGAAAGCAGCTTGCTTGAAAGTGACATGTGAGCTGTGCTTCATATATCACTACACTATTGATTTAATACATCTTTTGCACTGGCAGCTCCGTTGAATGGTAAAGCTACAGTGCACCTCACTGCAGCTGGCAGGAAAGAGTGATGGGAAAACTCTTGCTCACCTCTTGAAGAGCAGGATGGCGATGACTATGATGATGATGAGCACTACGGCAAGAACGGGGCCCATAACCCAGAGCATCTCAGGCTGGTCCACACTGGGCTGCATAAGGTTTTTATCCTGTACGGTGATGGGGTCCGAGTATGGGCTGGCCGAGAAGGTCCGCTACAGAGAGAGAAAGTCTGAGTTAGTCCACAGAGAGTCTAACAAGTTACACAATAAATATGGCTGAAAAAAATCCAATGAGAGCTTATGTATAAATAACCCTTATATTCCTATATCCTTTGCTCTAGGCAGCACTGATATGATCAAAAATACAGTAAAAACAGTAATATTGTGAAATCATAATATATATACAGTATATAGAGTAATATTGTGAAATATATATATATTTATATAAATATATATATTATTATATAACTATATATATAATTCCCCCCAATTTCAGGTTTTCCAGGAATGTTTTAACTTCAACTACTTAAATTAAAATAAAAATTGCACATAGCACATCCTCACATCTGTCTCCATGTCAGGCTAGGTTTCCGTTAACAAGGTTCCTCTTAACCCCTGCCATACACACATTCACCTTTGATTAGCATAAGTCAAACCTCTGAGAACATGTGACCACGTAGAGGAAGATGCACACAAAAAAAGAAGAATTTTAAATGGAAGCTGAGGAGAGGAATCAAATCCTCTTCATTAGTGCTCAAACCATGGTGATAGTGAGCTGGCTGGAGGCAGGGAGGGAGTGACAGGAAGAAAAAAGATCCAGTGTGAAGGGACATAAATGAGACATCTCCCCGCTGTGCCCTCTTCCATGCACGCGCCATGGGACAGGTTCAAATTTTGCCTCACAAACCGTCTGTGCTAAAAAAAGAAACAAGGAAAAAGAATGAAGGAAAGAAAGGAAGGTGAGGAAAGATGGGCTTGTCATTACCACTCCCTTTGTCAGCGTTGGGAGAGGCCATCCACGTGGACACTATTTCCCTGAGGGTCAAACCCCATTTGCCTTCCTCTCTTTCTTTATCTCTCTTCCTCTCGCTTCATCCCGTCACACAGAGCAGGACGCCATAATCTGTATCACTTGCTCAGCTCAGCTTGACACGTCTAAGAGCGCACAGATATTAATTGAAGAGATAAGCAGGATATTAGCTGGAGGAGAGTCATGAAGTCATTGTGTTATCGCCACTGCTCTCATTGGTAACGTGGTGCTTTATGTGAGCTCAGGTGCTTATGTGTGTGTGATGTACTGGAAATATACATTTCACTGCATAATTGTGGCTTCTCTTAAGCAACCCTGCTGGAAAAAAAACAGGTCAACAGCTCAAGCTAGGTTTTGGAACCTCTTTTTTTTGCAGGTAAAAAGTTGGCTACCAGCTTTAACCGACTTGATTTAGCAGGTTTTTATTAGGTTTGTCAACTACCAGTCAAGTTGATCAACCCAGTTAAACCATGTAAAACAAGCCACCACCTTTTGTGTACAATCATGTAGAGCAGGATTCTGGACCAATGAGAGCTCTCCGTGGGCGGGGCTACACAGAAAAAAACAATTCAAAAACAGAAATCAAGTAACCAACAGAATGTCTTATTATTAGCTGATGTCACGGTCAGTTAGGGCAGAAATTTTGATTCTTATGAAAGAGATTTCAATGCTTCTTACAGCATCTCAGCTGGTTAGGAGACTAAGTTAAGCTGGTTTTACTAGGGTAAAGAAGATCATTTCACCATATCAGGGCAAATCTCAGGCCTAGGCCATAAAAAAAAAAGAAAAAGAAAAAAGATAGTAAAACATAAAAAAAATGTAAATCTAAATAAATAAGAAAATAAATGAATAACAGAAGACAATGGCAATTTCTAAATAAACTATTATTTTTCTCTCTATTTTGTCATTTATACTTCTGTTCTGCTCCAGCTTCTGGTTTATCCCCAAAGCTCTGCACTGCAGTACTGTGAATATTGTTGGTTCACTTATGATACATTGCTTGTGATTTTCCTCATTTGTGAGTCGCTTTGGATAAAAGCTTCTGTTGAATGACGAAATATAAATGTTAAATGTGCAATTAGCCACATTACTGTATTACATTAATGAGAATGACATTTTTCACATTACAGTAATGAGAATTTGAACATAAAATGCCAATTTTAATGGCCCTAAAAAAAGGCCTCTTTATGTGTAATAAAACATGAGCTAGACATTTCTTTATGAGATTCACCCATCAAAGGGATTCAAAAATCTTGTTGTTATTCATTTTCAATGCGTTTTCTACTGATGCTTCAGAGGTGAATGAAAAGACAGCACTCTGCTTCCTCTGGAGCTTTAACACAATTTGAGTACGATGTGTTAAAGGCAGTTAACTCTCACTAATGTGTTTCATATCTCCTACAGACAAGTAGAAAAAAAAAACAAGAAAGCTGAATTCTAACTAACGCAAAATCCATTGAGTGGATAAGGATGGGCGTGCGTCCTCAGGCAGAAGAGAAACGGTTAACAACATCATCTCAGCGCTGGGGTCTCAGTGCGGGTATTCTGCTAATGTAAACACTTTATATGGCAGAAACAGCTAGGGCTCCACAGGCCCTCCTTCCTAACTCCACCAGCCAGCTGACACTCTCTCTTTCACCCTTCCTCTTGGTTCTGCATTTTTCTTATGCTTCTTTCTTTAAAAGTTCACTGTTCTCTAATGCTCCTTTTCCTCTGAACATCTCTCTTCTTTTTTAACCTACCAACAAAGTGCTGTCTCCTGCTCCCGTTTAATATAACATCTTAAGCTTGCTTGTCTGCACTTGTTTAAACAGATTCTGTTTACACATTTGATCTATCATCCGATTTCACACTCCTCTGGGCTTGTGTATGTGCCACGACGAGTGATGCTTGTACAAAGCTAATATTCAGTGCTGAAGAAGAGCAGATGATGACTGTTAAAAGCTATTATCAACTCCTTATGCCAAATGAATGAATAAATAAAACATTTTAACTTAAAAAATAAAAATCAAGCAAGTTCAGTTTCACATGCTGAAAGTCGATGGTAATATTAAGTATTATTTAAAATTAAAACATAAGTATTATTTTTAAAATATATGTACTATTAATATAGATATAAAAATATATTGTAGATATAAAAAAGATATTGTATATATTTTTAATATATATAAAAAAAATATATAATCTTAAATATATTCATTTCAGATTGTTATTTTATCTTTTTTTTAATTTAGATTACTGAATAGCATTTGGTCACACTGTATTTTGTCAATTTTGTGATTAATTGGAAAAGCACAATTTTTTACCGCGTTACTTAGTTTCAATCCCAAACCTATAGTATATAATTATTTTAATGTCTATATTAATTTTTTAAAAGTACAATGATTTAATTTGGTTGATTTATTACTTTAACATTGATTGTTAAAATTATTATTACCAGTATTATTATTAAACAGCATTTGGTCACATTTTATTTGGTAAATATCATGCTTGTTTCTGTGCTGAGCTCCAGGCTTCATATGCTCTATAAAGGCCCCTGTGCTGGAGCTCAGATCATATCCAAGCCGTTCATTCATTTGCTATGACAGCTCCGCAGCAGGAGAGCTACTGGAGAGCCAGATCCGAAGGGCACAGCTGCATTAGATGTGGGGCGTTGGCCATTCCTCTGAGATATTATTCTCTGGCCAAGGACAAACGGCTAGACTTGTTCTTTTGAACCGTACACACTCATCTAATCGTTCTCAAATCATCAGCATGCTTGTTCAATCCCCATTAGTTAAAGAGGATTCCAGGTACGGTCTCAACAGATCAGGGTCGTCCAATGGAAGTCAGAGGGAATGAGTCAGGCCGGAAAGGTTGACAGAGTTAAGGAAGGGGAAGCAGGGCCTTTGAAGTGCTGAGTGAGAAAGTTGTCCTTCCTCTTCTCATAAAACATGGCAGACAGACTAATGCCTAAGCTTTAGGGGTACTTAAGAGTCAGCTTCAAGGGAATCAGGACAGGCCCTGCCACGCAAATCCATTCTCCTGCTCTTTCCACAGAGTCGAGATGAAGGAGCTCAAAGTGCCAAACACTGCTGACGCCATCATGAGAGGAAATTATGAATATTTATCCAACTGGTCCTCTGGAGGTCCGGGCTATAAGTTTCAGTGATGATTATTTTCAGGGCTGTGAGGGCGCAGAGTTCACATTTTTGATTTGTTAGAGAAGCAGATGGAAAAACGGAGCTGAGGGAACCGGCGAGGCGTTTAAGCTAATGCTTGTTCGACAAACAAAGCTTATTGAGCTTTGCTGCTTATTAGGACAAAGCTTTGGTAAGACTCACAGAATAACCGCTTGTCTGCCTGCAACTCAAGCTGAAATTTTCTGAGAAGCTGAAAGGATGAAGATAAAAGACACCAAACGTACAAATGAACATGTGGGGTTCGCGCATAGTTCGACCAAATTATAAACCGTAGTACCTGCTTCTCATTGGCAGTAACAGGGTATTGGTCCTTGAGTTCAGCCATGACAAAGCACTGGTAGTGTCGGTTGTTAGGAAGGGGACGGTTGTAGAAGCCGTTGTACGTCTTTTCGTCTCCCAAGGTGAAGGTGTCTGGGAGGGATTGCAGCTTTGCGGCGATGTACGGCCTAACAGTGTCCGTGTGACGTCGTCTCCTGAGCAGAGCTCCCTCACTAGACTCCAAGAGCTGAGGAAGAGATCAGAAAGAGATGAATTAGTGCAGGACAACAGACATAAACACCACAGGTTCACAGTGTTATGTGGAAAAGTAATGCTTAGTTTGTCAATAACTTTCATTTGAATTGCCTGTAAATATAAAAGTATTTATTATACAGAAACTGTACAAATTATTAAATGGTCTATTATTAATATATTTACAGGGGTATAAGCCAGCAACAACAAAAACAAACTTTCAGTCTTTTAACCAATGGACTTTAATGACTCCCTTCCTAAAACGCAAAAAATAGCTATATATAGTCATGTATACAGACACATTTATACTAAGAAACATATTATAAATGTGTATGAAATAATATGGAATTTATTTCCTTTTATATTTAACTGGAAACTGGACTATCTTTAGCAATAACTCAGCATTTTAGAATGGTTTCTGAATGACCATGTGACACCGAAGACTGGAGGAATGTTTGCTGACAATTCAGCTTTCCCATCACAGTAATACATTACTATTTTCAAAAGGTTTACAGGTCTAGAAATCACATTTTTTAAATTCCCTGATATTCCCAGGTTTTCCATTACTCTGGTAATTCTGCTAATAGTAAAAAAACAGGAATGACTCACCTCATCCAGCTCCATCTCGTCAGGATTAACCCACTTACGGGATGATGTAAGAGACACGGGCATGACCACAATGTAGTACCACCTGTACAGAAAACAACGATATTAGCATATACACCTTTACGACTCTCGACTTCACTACAGCAGCTTGAACAAGCGTCACTATTTACTGTATACCAGAAAAGGTTGTAGATTTTAGCTGGTGGGAATTGAAGGCGGCCCATTCCAGGTGTGTGAGTGTGTAGAAAAACTGATGACTTGCTTTCTGGGTAATAGCTCCAGTTAATCATCTCAACGCTACTGGTTTTAAATAATCAGCTCTATCTTTCAGAGCGTGAGTGAATGGAACACTCAGAATGAGCTGTCAGGTGGTCCGGACAAGCATAACTTTAGGAGAGTGGCATTCAGCTGCTCATAATAAGACTGGGGCCGAGGCTTTAATTTGGCTGGTGTCTGATATGAGAGGCAGTTTCAAAATCACCTCCAAGAAAAACTCTCTCGGTGCTTCAGAGCTCCGCCATTACTGGAGAACGAAGCGCTGTATCTGACACGAAATCCCACATTAATCAGCGCTACTCCAAATGCCAATCTTCTCCAAGACTTTCTCATCCTCAACACTCTGGTAATCTTTTTACCAATCGAAAAGGCACTCTGGAGCACAGCCCTGTTCTCCTCCTGGGATTGGCAACAAGCTTTTTTTTTTTTTGACCACAGTGCACCAGCTCTGATTTTGTCAAAGGCCAAGACGTCAGAGAAGAAATCTCCCAGCTTGCGGTTCAGTCGCAAATTAGTTCATTTTTTTTAGGGAACGTAATTGGCTGTGGAAAATCGTGACTCACAAACAACATGTTCCTCTCAAAGGACAAAAACAATCTCCACTTTTCTTCCATTACCTCCTCATTCATGAAAAATTAAGTGTTGAAAATTACATATAAACATTATTCGGCCTGAGAGGTGGGGTGGGGGGGGGGGATAATTGCATGGTAATGGTGTGTGAGCTACAATGCAGAACGGAAAGCATGCCGTCATTGACCCAAATGGGGCTGCAGGCATTACTTTGGGCAGCGTCACTGTATCCGAATGGATTTATGAGGTTTAAATAGAGGGGAAGGAGTTGAGCACAACAGTAAGATGATAACTATATCAAATCAGCTAATTCTTTGACAAAAGAGAACTCTTTATGCACATATTCAAATTCTGCTAAAAGCTATTTCTTTTTTTTAAAACAAATAAAAGTTTCACAAAATGTATACAAAAAATATGCTATACACAAAAAACTCAAAAAAAGAAAACAACAAAAAACAAGAGACCCCCCCCCCCACCTACCCCCCACGAACAGGCACCAGATAAAATGAAAAATATACACCTTAAACAAAGACATACGTAATCAAACATAAACAAAACATTAAAGATGGAGTGAAGGAATAAAACAGTGAAGCTATCCATTCAACTCTTAAAAAGATACCTAAGGAAGGGGCCCCAGATTTGATAACATTTTTTAGAAACATCGATCTTGGAAAAGCAAATCCTTTCGAGCTTGACGGCAGCAACCATCTCCGCCAACCATTTTTGAAAACTGGGCGGTAAAGAGGACTTCCAATCCATCAAAATCACCCTTTTAGCTACCACCATACCAAACATAAGAGACAATTGGTGAGAATGTGTTAATGCTAAAGTAGGGTCAGAACATCCAAGCAAAGCTAATTCAAGATCTGGAGTGATATCTTCTCCAAAAACATTTGAATACCACCGAAAAATATTCTTCCAAAACTCAGAAATCTCAGGGCAAAACCAAAAAGAATGAGCATGTGTGCCATCTGAGCTCTTACATCTTTCACATAATGGGGAAATTGAAGGTTACATTTGATTGAGTTTAGTTTTGGTATAGTGTAACCTATGCAATACTTTAAACTGTATAAGTTGTAATCTAGCATTAATAGAGCAGGTATGAATTCGTTTCAGTCCCTAAAAGCTATTTCTAAATTACTTCTGCTGTTTTATACAGATATCCCATTTTCTTTGCATACCTATATAAACTATACTATGAATGAATGAACGAATCAATCAATCAATCAAACAATACATTTTTTTCATCTTATTTTCTCACCAACTAAAAGCATAATCCATTTTGTTTGTCTGATTACTAGAGTACTAACCTGATAGGAGCTGTGGTAGGCAATTTGGGCAGGTTGATGGTGAGTTTGCCATTGCTGGTCTGGTCTGCTGTGTACAGGACAGGTTTAGTTTTGAACAGGTCAGGTGCGGTACGAATAGAGACCTGCTGCTGCAGGCCACCAGCGCTATTTCCCCGGCTCATCAGCACGAAGGAATAATTAGTGTCCGGCTGCAGTTGCGTGATCAGCTTCCTCTTGAGGTTGCCCTGGACTTCCACACTCTGCTGGTTATAGAGGATCTGCAGGAGGGAGAGGTTCAATTTCACTCAGTTGCACAGTTCACTAAATCTAATTTTTATTTAGTTTCATTTAAACAAAGAACTTGATTGCATAAACAGACTTTATCCCCACGCAGCTGCTTTAAGCGATGGAAACCGTGTGCTGTTTTCTGGGCTTGGCTGATCAGGAGATTACTGTTATGGTTTTATACCAGTGGCTGGCATGCAGAGATGCCACACAGACTGTCTGTCAAGTTCACTGTAGGCCAGAGACCGTTCTGACAGACTTTCCACACTGTTTCTGCATACTGACCAATACTGTGACTTGCAATTTTGCTAAACCACATGTGAATTTACAGAATCAGCACTTAAAACCTATTAGGTAAGATTACATTCACATCTGTCACAGTCTAATCATTTTATATGGGATTTAGACAATTATACAGTTAACTCCCAAGTGCAAGCCTATAAAAAGGGTATAAAAACAAACAAATTCTTGTGAAGAATATATTTTAATACAACGAACTTTTTGTCAATGTTCGTTAATGGGGTCTTACCTTAAAAGGCACTTGGGATTTATAATTTTCTGGCACCTCCCAGGTGAGAAGGACAGAGGTTTTCATCACAGCTTTGACACCAAAACTTGTGGCAAATGCTATTGGACAGAGAACAGGGATTTCATAAGCATATATATAGAGCATAGGGTTTGAATTACGTATAAGGTAACATTTAAAACAGCACTGATCTCTTGTGTGAAATTACTGACACTGCAATAAAGTGCTTACAATATCTTGTACTTACATAATTTTTAATAAAGAAAGAAATACTGTCTGAATACTGCCTATAAAAGCTGTTCTGTAAAATGGAAAATCAGCTTATTTGTTGAGAAAAATATGAAGAAATAGTGCTATACCTCCTCCGTCAGGAAGCTTCAAACTTATTTTTTAAAACGTATTAGTTTTATTTTAGTATTATTTATATATTATTATAGTATTTATTAATATTTTGAATGATCTCTTTTATTTTTATATTTTATAGTTTTCTTTTTCATTGTAGTTTGTCTTTTTTCTAAATATTTCAATATAAGAATTTTTTAACTTCAATAAAGTTTTTGTTTAAGTAATTATAGTACTTCAACTTATTTCAGGTAGTTGCCAAGGCAACATTCTAAATTTTCAAAAAAATGTCAATCATTTATTTATTTAATATTTATATTTCATTTTATTTAAGCTTTATTTTAATTATCGAAAACTATTTTTAATAACTTTAGTTTGTAGTATTACGTTCTTTCAGTTTAGTTCTTTTCAGAAGTTGAATGTTAACGTGAATGTTAAGTAAAAAAAACAAAGGCAGGATTTTTCCATTTGCCTTAAAAACCACTCAATGTGAAGATAACTGGACTTTTTCATAGTGCACATTCATCACAGTGTTAGCATGACAAAATTAACTACGTTATGTCAACCGTGTGTTATTGCAGAAAAATAATAACATTTGTTGGTTATCTGGTGATTTTGTTTGTGAACAACAGTGGACAGTGGCTTTCAAATGTGTTAAGACAGAAATTAACATGTTCCGGTGTTATTTTTTGGACCCAATCTTTCAAGCAACATGAACAGGTGTGTAGTATGTGGGCCTTCATGCACCGTATACACTATATCATTAAATAAAGTGTATAAGGTGCATTCTACTGTAATTATGTTACAGTGCATTGCAATTATCTGTGGATTGACACAGTAATAAATTACACTTCAGAGGGATAAAAGGATTTCTGCATCTGTTTAAGTGATTTAACGTAAGTCATGCAGTCTAAACACAAACCAGGTGATGTAGACATGGTCCTGCTCTGGATACTAGGACTTATGGGACCCCCTCCCTTGCTGGTGAAGGCTTGCACACGGATATCATAGGTGGTGTCTGGCCGAAGCCCCTGGATGGTCATCTGAGTGTCAGATGTGCGATTGGTGCCGTTCTGTATGTTGTTGATGTCACGGTACATCACTAGATATTGTGTGATCCGGCCGTTGCGCTCAGAGAGGGCCGGGGGGTCCCAGGCAAGGCGGGTGGTGGAGGTGGTCAGGCCTACGACACGTAGGTTGAGGGGAAACCCACTTGGCACGTCCTCCGGTGTGCTGATCTCTTTTACATACTCCTCTCCAGCTCCTGCCCGGTTTCTGGCGCTCAGGTGGAAGGTGTAGGTGGCGCCCTTGTGCAGTTCTGTGGCGGTGTGGTGGTCGTCATTGCGTGCGAACTCACGGACTTCATAGTTTTCATCCTCCACACGCTTGTACCGTAGTCGGTAGCCAATCAGCTCACCCACCATGTCCTTAGGAGGCTGCCACTGGATGAGGGCCGTGTTGCCAATGGTGGTGCTGATGATCATGGTGGGTTTCCCAGGCACTGCGGGGGCAGAGTGAGAATGTGAAAAGGCATTGTTAAAAAGAGCGTTATTTGCATGACCACTAACACCACATGCCACAATTAGGTATCAAATAACCTGCCTTAAAAGTGTGTTTCCTCTTTTATTTGATCTGGACTGTCTAAAACATCCTCTTATTCTGGCATTACGGACCACCTATTTATGGCAAGTAGTCTTCATCAAAGAATTCTGAAAATCATCAAATCATCATCAAATAATTCTGAAAAAAAGCTTTATGGTTTCTACAATAATACTATCTGCTTGATAATAAGTATTAAAGGGGTCATATGATGCGATTTCAAGTTTTCCTTTCTCTTTGGAGTGTTACAAGCTGATGCGCATAGATAAGATCCCTTGACTTTGCTATGAAGTTTAAGTATTTGCTATTGACTGTTCAAATGCAGAGTTTTGCGAGAGAGAGAGACAGGGTCAGTCAGCTGTCTTAACCGTGGCTTACTGCAAATACTGCAAACACATACTAGCTTCCTCACTGTGTCTGTCATAGGACTCTGTTCCCCTTTCAGGCTTGAACTGATGGTAAAACTAATGACATTATTTACTGTCTTTACATTTATTTTGAAAGATGAAGCTTGCGATTATGGAAAGGGGCGTTACATTTCCGACGAGTGCTTGCGGTGTTCGGCCAATAACAATGCACTGGGTCAGCTGGCCAATCAGAGCAGACTGCGCTTGTCGGAAGGAGGGGGCTTTGTAGAAAACTAAGCATTTGAGAGAGGCGGGGCATAGAGGACCTACAATAATGTACAGTATTTGAAAAATAATGTGTTTTTTGAACATTAAAGCATGTCAACATATTCTGTTACACCAAATACACAAAATAATGATCTTTAAAAAAGCATCACATGACCCCTTTAAGTAAATATTAAGCACAACTATTTTTCAACATTGCCAATATGAAATGTTGCTTGATCAGCAAATCAGCACATTAGAATGATTCTGAAGGATCATGTGACACTGAATACTGGTGTAATGGCTACTGAAAATTCACAGGAATAAACTGATATATTACAATACACAAAATCTACCACAAACTTTTAATGATGTATAACTACAATGACTTATAAATGTTCTTTCATACTGACCTTAAAGGGGTCCTATTATGCTCTTTTACAAAGTCTTGATTTTGTTTTGGGGTGTACTAGAACAGACTCTCATACTAATATTTTACATTAATACAACACCTCTCGCCCCAGTCTGGCATGAACAGCTCGAGTAGTTCCTGTATCAAATGAAGGCCCGCCTTCTGAAATACGAAATGTGCTGTGATTGGTTAGCTGGGTGCTGTTATTGGCATCACTCGGCGCCTGGTTGGGAAATGTCATAGCCACTTGCGAGCTTCAGTGTGAATATTGCGTCAAAGTCAAATCAATTTGAGTGCGATTTAATCCCGGATGATTGTAGCCACTCTAAATTCGTCTGCCTTGGGAACGCTAGCGTGTCTCCGACATAGTGATAACACTCGTTGCCTTCTCTAGTGCAGCTCAACCAGGTCTCGTCCCATTCGTCGGTATTTGTGATATCACAAATCCCGGAAAATATGCGTTGTAGTCCAAATGAGTCGTTCGTTGTAGTTTTTGAAAAGTGATTTCTGTTAAATAAAATATCTCCTTTTGAATTGGACTTTGAGCTTTGTAACTTTGCAGATCTTTTTTATGCTCGAACAGCAACATTACAGACTAAGTTGAAAAAGTGAAGAAGCATAATAGGACCCCTTTAAATCTATATTTATAATGTTTAATAATAATAAAAAGTGAAGACCCTTCCATCTATTTTATCCTTTGAGTGAAGAAATGTCTTGGAAAAGCTGCTTTTGATTAAATGTCACCAGCCATTCGACAATGAATTGTCACTGAAAACCTTGAAAGATGCATTCATATTTTAAAATTTCGTCTGTAATGTGATGTATTTGTAGGTAGATCAGGACATTGAGTAGAATATAGCATTTTGTGCCACCAGTTGAGAAGAAAAGATACACCAGATGTCAAGCAAGATTTAAAATAGTTTTTCTTAGGAACAATGTACAATGAATCAATAAATCAATGAATAAGACCAGAAAAATGCATTGGAAAATAAACAGGGTGAATTCAGAATGTGAATTAAGAGTGAATTCTTACCTGCTCCGGTGGTGGTGATGACTTTGGCTTTGCTGCGTGCCCCATCACCCTTGGTTGTGTATGCTGCCACGGTAACGGAGTAAGAGGTCTCAGAGTGAAGTCCAGTGATCACAGCCTCCTGTGAAACAGAAACAGCATGATCCCTAAGATGCCAAGACAGCTTTATCTAGAGACTCCCTCATGCCATCCCCACTGGCAGACACTGATCATAAACCCTCCAATAAACCACACACACCCCAATGCTTAACCATTTCCAACCTCCCTTTTAAAACCGTATTTATGACATATTTTTCATTTCATTTTGCACATTCAAACAAGAACTCTGAAAGGCTTCGAAAAGCTCTATAGAAGCTCTTCCAAGTCACAAAGAGAAGAACCAAAGCTGCCCAACCATGGGTGTCAATGTTCTTGCTTTACACTAGTGACAGCAAATTATGTTTTAACAATCCAGCTGAAAAACTGTCAGTAATTAGTATGTAATTATATATTTGGTCACACTTTATATTAGGTGGCCTTAACTACTATGTACTTGCATCAAAAAATAAGTACAATGTACTTATTGTGGTCATATTGTATTGCAAAACACTTTTGCTGCTATTGAGGTGGGATACGGGTAAGGTTAGACACAGGTTTGGTGGTATGGGTAGGTTTAAGGGTGGGTTAAGGTGTAAGGGATGGGTCAACAGTGTAATTACAAATGTAAGTACATAAATGAATTACAGATGTAATTACATGCAGGTATTTTAAAAATATAAGTACAATGTAAAAACATGTATGTAAACAATAAGTGCATTCTACCAAATTATTAATTTAAAAGTAATTACACAGTAGTTAAGGCCACCTAATATAAAGTGGGACCATATATATTTTTCCTTTTTTGAAAACCTTCAAAGATTTTTGTTGGTCAAATTAGTTTGCAAACTACTGTAAATAATAACTGGTGTATAGAAGAGCAATGACATATCTGGTTGACATCAACAGATAACCTGTGTGAGCATTTGAACAAACTCACAAACCAAAGGAAAAAAAGAGCCAAACATAGCACACGCAAGCACCTGTAGGAACACGAACACGCACGCGCACACACACACACACACACACACACACACACACACACACAGTCTTCATTAGGGTTAAAACACAATATTTTCATGACTTCTCCCAAAGATAGTCTATACAGTAATAATACATTTGCTCTAATGATTCAGCATCCACACAGTGAGAATAAATTTGGCTTTCAGCAATCAAACAGTTCTCCAAATTCACTTTCAAATCGGCACAAACAAAGAAATGCATCAAAGCTAAATTAATTCAATGATAAAAAATAACCTACTAAAACTGTGCTTCATTAATCCAGTTACTCAACCTCTTTCAACATGAATAAGCTATATGAATATAAAACTAATTTGACTGAAGAAATGTCATGAGGAATAATGTCTGTAAAGCCTAGTTACTCAGGTAATCTCTTCTTAGTGTACTGGCACGGTTACCTGCACATGATGTGCTGAAAATCCTCACACACACATGGAAATAAACCAAGCACATGTTCACCCGCCACACACTTATAAAAATACCAGGCTCCTATATTACACATGCCCACACATCCTCTGGTAAATTAAATTCCTGAAAATGGCATTTTAAAAGCTTCTTGTTAGCCTTTTTAGCATGTTTCTTCTATAATTAAGCTTTTAATTATATTAATACTTATACCAATATGTGCCCACTGTTTCACAATTTTCTTTTTTAAAATGGAGATTGCTTGGTTTGGTTTGCAGTCCCGCTGAAACCCTAAAGAGAGGGAACACGGGATAAAATGCAAATGACTGGAAAAATGTAAACGACCTTTTAAATTTGAGCGTTTATTCATTACTTTAATCACACAAAATTACTTTTTAAAGGCAAAGCAATTGCATTTTCGTCTCTCATTTTCTCCATCTTAAGTAGTGCTCTTTTATCAGTTTTTCGAGCAAAGGGAACAGCTTGCACCAAGTAGGAAGAGGTTAAAACAATTCTGTGAGTACACTAGGGCACGTTCACTTTTAGCAGCAATTTATTATAAACTAAGCATTGTGCTCTCAAAGCTCTACTGACAAAAAATTGTTTTCAGTTAACTTTGCATTATTGCATTTGATTTGTTTCTCATCAGAATTGCAAGATATAAACTCAAGACAAGTTTATAACACAGATGTGAGAAAAAAGTCAGAATTGTAAGATAGACTTTTTTCGTCACCCAAACAACAGTTACTAACTCACTATTCATGTTCAAGCTAAATTTGATTCTCCGGAAATTTCTTTTGATAATGGAACAAGGTGAGAATATTGGCGTGGCATCTGTGGGGTTATTAGGTGTATGTTTCCTCTATACACTGAGTCACACTTCATTAGTGAGCTAGCAGCTGACACCAACCTTCAAAATGGCTGATTGCTAGAATAAATAACAGAGGTGCACAGATGTCACACGCTGACACCAGTATGTCTCTCTGTTGTCAAGCCATAATCAATGTCATCAGTGAAAAGAGCAGCACAGTCCCATTACGTGTTGCTGGTACCTCTGAATAGAGCCTGAGGTGAAAGAAATGAATTTAGGTTCTCACCTTTGATTAAAAAAGAGGATCTAAAAATGGCTTAAACTTAGGTAGGGCAATGTCTATAGTACCATATTAAACTGTAAAATTACTGTAAAAAGCATAATTTACAGTTCAGATACAAGTTTTCACAAAAACAAAATGTTTTATAAAATGATCAACTTTACATTTCAGCCTTTAAACCATTTAAGAAATTGATGAGTCAAAAGTATTAATTATTATATTAATTTAAACAATTATTATATCAATTAAATAACATAAATTAGGGCTGTGACAAAAAATTATATCTTGATAATTTTCTGGGATTTTATCAATAACTATAATTAGACAATATTTTGCTATAGAGTGTGTTATTGTGCTGATATCTTTTCTCTAATTGTGCTGACAGCTGAATCCTGAATTTTTGTATATTCTTCATATTCTGTGTGGTCAGTTCACAGCAGTGATAGAAATTAATAATTTCCAACCAGTTTTATGGGCATTTTTACCCTAAAGCCATTTTTTTTCTAAAAGTGTGCACCATCTTTTGAGTCAAATTCTTGCATTTGGGCTGTTACCACGCAAATGAAATCAGTATCAACAAAATTGATCTTTGCAATGCAGAGGAAACACAGAAGCGGCATTAGAAGTGGCATTTAGATGTATTTACACACTGTTTAATGCAGCTCTGAGGGACATTAAATACTTTAAATGCATAAATAATGTTTTGATATTTTAAACATAAAACATTGAAAAATTATGTTTCGAGATTATTTTAAAAATGAAAAGGTACCTTAAATGTGAAATTAGCAAATCACTGTTAAGTGAGTCATTGTGATTGAACTGAATCATTTAAACGGTTGATTCATTCAGAAAGGAAACACTGTCGTGTTGCTCAGAGACGCAAAACAGCGCTGTGGCTGTGTTTGGAATGATTTTTGTTGGCGAAATAGACCAAAAACAGGAAATATGGTGTCTAAAACCTAAGTCTCTTAATATTAACTTCTTGTTTATTGAACTGTTGTAAGAAATCAATATTACATTTGTAATCATGCTGACTTTTGGGGAAAAAATTGTGTGATATTAACTATATGAAATTATATAAATATATAAATTTTCTGCCCCATATCTTGAACTATGTGATAATTCTAAATGCATTTTAATAGACTGATTAATGCAGTGAAAGAACGCACTGTAAATGCGAACACGCACTAGTCTAACCTGCTAGACTTCATCAGGTAATGTACGAGCGCATTCTATAGGTGTTTTGTTTGCTTTTCGCGATATTCTCGATAATATCAAATCGCACATCCTTATAACAACAATGACGATATTATCGCAGACCATACATATCGCACACCCCTATGTTTAGATTTTTATAATGCATTGTCTTCTTATCGATCCACCAGTTCACATTTAAAGCTCTGCGTGTTTGTAGGGTAAAAACATGGGTCGATTTTCGTATTTGTCTGAACTCTGAACAAAACAACAGTTTTATTGAAAATGCTCATTCATTCTCTGCCAGCAGGTGGAGCGTTTGGTAGAAATATAACTGTTTCCCCAGTAACAGCAGAACACAAAGTAGCGCAGCTGCGGACTTTGAATGTGCAGCGCTCGTGTTTATTCAATGAAATCATAGCCTTTTGAAGATTAATCGTCACAGTCAGCCATATCGCAATTCTGGTCTTTCTGTCCCCAAATTTAAGACCTCTTGAAATCCTAATTAAGAATTTCTTGTACAATTTAAGACTTTTTAAGGCCTTAAATTTGATACAACTAAATTTAAGACTAAGACTTTTTTAAGACCCGCAGAAACCCTGTTTAATATAGTGATGTAACTACTGTCCCATTGCTTTATCTGTGTCTCACATGGTCATATTATTAGTAGGCCTATTAGATACAGTATCTCACAGAAGTGAGTACACCCCTCACATTTTTGTAAATATTTTATTATATCTTTTCATGTGACAACACTGAAGAAATGACACTTTGCTACAATGTAAAGTAGTGAGTGTACAGCTTGTATAACAGTGTAAATTTGCTGTCCCCTCAAAATATCTCAACACACATCCATTAATGTCTAAACCGCTGGCCACAAAAGTGAGCCACGACCACTGCCTTGCTAAAGAAGCTGAGGGTAAAGGTGATGGATTGGCCAAGCATGAGCATCCTCAAACGGAAGGTGGAGGAGCACAAGGTCTCCAACATCCACCAGCTCTGTGATGTCGTCATGAAGGAGTGGAAGAGGACTCCAGTGGCAACATGTGAAGCTCTGGTGAACTCCATGCCCAAGAGGGTTAAGGCAGTGCTGGAAAATAATGGTGTGCGCACAAAATATTGACACTTTGGGACCAATTTGGACATTTTCACTTAGGGGTGTACTCACTTTTGTGGCCAGCAGTTTAGACATTAATGGATGTGTGTTGAGTTATTTTGAGGGGACAGGAAATTTACACTGTTATACAAGCTGTACACTCACTACTTTACATTGTAGCAAAGTGTCATTTCTTCAGTGTTGTCACATGAAAAGATATAATAAAATATTTACAAAAAT